TTCCCTACGTCCCTAACTGAGGGTAATCTTAAAACGTTTAAAAAACCACCAGTAAAACCCAGTTGTTTTACAAAATTCTCAGCAACAAAAGAAACTCCCTTACCTTCCTTGTCTGTGAGCACTTCCATTCTGCCGCTGAACATGGCCTTCAGCATTGTGTCGTGCCTGGTCAGTACTTGTACTGTGGTGTAATATAAAGAGCCCCCAACATTGAGTCGCACGTACTTGTTACCGAGGCTGCCCCCTTTGAAGCTGCAAGTTTTGGGCTTGGGCCCTGCAGCTGGACAAAGGGTGGTGGTTAGACACGTGTCCCCCGACATCTCCTTCTGTAGGTAGATGACAACCCTGCAGAGCGTGGGCTTGACGGATTCCGCCGTGATTGGGGAAGAGTCACAAGTCACCAGACGAGGACGGCAAGGCAAAAGCGGTCATAACCAACGGACCCTTGAAACAGAAACGGATAAGATCAATACAGAAGCCTGGAATTTCCATTTACAACAAAACCACGAAGCCCACGTTAAAGAAGAGACATTTTCAGTAGATTCCTAAGGACACATCTACACATATTCCGACAAAACAGGATTTAGCCGTTTTTCAGACGACTGCATTATACTGCAGCGTAAGTTAAGTTATAGTTGCGTTACTGATAGTGAGGCACGCTAAACTTTGCTGGACTTCCTGTTATTTCCTCTTCAGCCAACACTACAAACATCGTACAGTACTGCAGTCCAAGTTTAAGCACTGGCTGGAATTCGTCTCCCTCTCAACTTCCCAAAAGAACGCAACTCTCTTTGTGCAGAGCTGAAACACAACGGAAGAGCTTTCTGCTCGCCCTTCAGCTGGGGAGTGCATCTACACGTGCGGGGTTTGTTGCTGCTGTTTTGTTTTTTAACTGGAGGCATTTAGAAACGTCTCTTCAAACGCCTCGACACTGAAATGCCGGACCATAATGTTCTATTTCCTGCCAACTCTTCTCATTCAAAACTCTTCTTCCTCCATCCTGGACAACTCATTTCCATTAGCCAAAACCACGCACTGAGGAAGGGATGTTATCTGGAGCTCTGGGTACCGAGCAGTCTGTAGTTTTAATTAAAAAAAAAAAAAATTAACACCACCTCCCTGCCAAGTATGTCCAGTCTTTGGAATACTTCTCAACGAAAAAGCCAGCTAGACAGTCACTGCTGCCTTCCCTCCCCAGTCTCACTGTGCTCATCTTTCCATCGACAATGAGCTCAAAATAGAAACAAACAAATGAAAGGATGGAATTCTAACAGGCCAGATCTGAAGTTTTTTAACTGGAAAAGTACAAATACAAGTTTCTTACCTATCTTCTAATAATTACTGTTCTCAAAAACATTTTGCTGTTGGTTTTTTTGTTGTTGTTGGTTTTTTAACTCTTTCAGACTACAAATATCTCCTCCCTTTTCTGTTCTGTGCCTATGGCACATGAGTAACCTTTTATAAATAAATATAATAACCCGCTAATTATATTGTTATTCTTCCTACACCCCTCTTCCTTCTCACCCCACCTCATCTTTCAACATAGAAAAAAACCCACAGCCATCCATCTGTACAGCAAATGACTTGGCAGCTACAGACGGTATCTTAAAATTGCCAGAGATGTGAATAACTACGGAACTTTGAACAACACCTGAAGTCTAACGTTACTCTGCGATTCCTAACTCAATTATTCTAATTAAGCAAACACTACAATGTCTATTAAATAACAAGCCATGACAATATCGCACAGACGATCAAGACACAAACCAGTTCTAAGAATTTTAGTGCCAAAAAAGTTCAGTTTGCCTATAAATGCTCCAACTGGAGCTCCCGCTACCTGCCACCGTTCTTTACTTTCACCTAACCACCAAATGCAACAGCAAGCTTCGGCCCCCACCTGGCAAAGACAAAGTTTTTCCTGACTACGTCACTTGAGTCAAGTAGCCCACGAGCAAGCCTAAGTCAAAGGCAACGGCACGCCACATGTGGAATTGGCCAGAAAAGTAATTCCCAGCTGGTAAGCGAGCAGCAGCAACCAGAAACTGCGCATCGCGGTCACAGCGCTATATAAGAAGTTCGTTACCCAAACGAAGCAGCTCAGGGTTATAGAGAAATCAATCAGGAATTGTCCAAGCCTCGCGCATAACACTGTTCCTCCCTGTCACAGGAGGGTCCTACAACCCACTACGAGTAAGCAAATTGAGAGCAGGAGCAACTACACCTCATCTCAGAGCAGGGACCTTGGTAACAACGGAAACATGCCTTAAGTCTGCGCGTTCACCATCAACGTCCTGCTGTGCTTAACCCTCAGCAACGCCTTCGTAGAACACAGGCACGCCCGCGGAGACAGCCCGACCGACGCCGTACCGAGAGGAATCCAGACACAAACAGAGCTCTCCGCTTTCAACAGCGATCTGCCCGAAGGTGTTCGTTACAATCAGGTTTCGTTACCACTTCAGGCCTTCGCTCGCTTCATAAATCCCAGCAGAAGCCCCTACACGGCCGACCCAAGCAGGAGTCGGCACCATCACTGGAACATGTTGGTTGGCTAACACGCCGAGAGGCTCGCGCTGCAAGCAGGAACGTAACCTGTAATTATCCCCATTAACACAAGAGGAAATTTTCTGCGTCCCTTCCTTCCTGCCCCGTGTGGGAGGCAGGAGGAGGCCTGCGGAGCGGTGACACACGGCCGCATCAGGAAGTGGCCCCTGCTGAGAACTTCCATAAAAAGGAATAAAGGGGGAAAAAAACCCACCCCGACACCCGGCCCCGCTGCGCAGCACCGCCGCAGACCGGGCACGCTGCCGGCCCCCGCCC